AGGCCTGATTTCAGAGCAGGCAGGCAGACCCGCTCCTACCTGCCAAACCAGGCAGGAGCAGGCAGCAAGGGGCTGCGGAGCACGTGCCGGCTGCCTGGCGTCCCCTTTCCCCGTCCTCTCCCGAAGCGCAGCACCGAGAGCTGGGGCGGGGTGGGGGGACACAGAGATTTCAAAGAATCGAAAACTTGAGCTTCCTCACTCTTTAAACGAGAAACGTTGCGTTTGAGCAGGTCGGACTGAAACACAACAGTCAAAAAAAGGGACTCAATTTCTCTGTAAATAATTAACAGAATACAGTATTAATGTCTCAATGCTGAGCTTCATTAGCTTCTAGATTCAACATGCGTGTTCTGGCACCCTTCACACTGCAGTCAGGGTTTTTTTGACTTCCAGAATAGTGCTACAAATAATTAACCTATCATTACTTAACAAGCATAAACAGACTGTATTTAACTTTGTCACATAAGATATATATAAAAATATATATATATGCTGTAAAATGAGGGGGAAAAAACCTTTCTAATAAACCAATGATTTGTGGAAAAAAAAAAGTGTGGTTGCGTGAGATGACTTGGAGCTGCTGCATCTGATCGCGATGTAGCCCAGGGCTGTCCTTTTCCTAAAATAACAGTGTTAGATGCTTGGTTCATCGAGTAAAGCTACTTTTAATTGGAATACTTTGCTCGGAAGATACTGAGCTGGATACAGGGAAAATGTACTCTTAATTATTTTTGTTTTTTTTTAAAGGACATTATTTTGGGTAGGAGCCCTCAACGCACTGAGTGGGTTCTGCAAGTTCTTGCCTGGCACGATCAACCTGCCTGGCCAGACTGTTCTTAAAGGTGAAACGGGGCAAGAAATGGTGGCTGTCGGTACTTTGGTGGTTGGATTGGCAGCGTGCCCCGGTGCTGAGCGTCTCGGCCACCCCATCTTTCTGCTCCGCGCTCTCCCTTGGCCCCCCCCTCGGGGGCCGAGGTGCCGCTTGGGCACTGCGGGGACCACCCTGTGCCCCCCTGGGGAGCCCTGGGCCCCGGTGGTCCCTGCCTCGCTTCCCACCTGCAGCTTCTGAGTAGACTAAGCTCAGCACGTTCCTCTCCCGGGGGCGTGGAGCTGAGCTGGGCTCAGCTAAACCCTTCCCAATCTTCAGAGCCCGACAGCTTGGGCTGAGCCCCAGCTTTGGGCAAATCCCTCCGGTTTCTGATTGCAGCTACTCCGTCGCCGCCCCCCCCTCGGGGGCCGAGGTGCCGCTTGGGCACTGCGGGGACCACCCTGTGCCCCCCTGGGGAGCCCTGGGCCCCGGTGGTCCCTGCCTCGCTTCCCACCTGCAGCTTCTGAGTAGACTAAAAGGATGAAAACCCCCTTTCCGCGTGGGGGGGCTGGCTCGCAGCGAGGGGCTCCGGTGCCTC